TTTTGGAAGTGCCCAGATGAGGCCCAGCCCTGAAGCAATGCAGGCTGTTGTCTAAGCCTTTTTTTGGAGACTTTGGCACTCTTTGACCCAGCTGCAGTTTGTTAGGTTCTAGATTGCAAAAGAACCGACCATTCATATGCAAAAGCCTCTGCTCACAGCTTGGGTGGGGTTACAAATTGGGTGGGGCGGAGTCTCAGGGAATCATCAGGGTGGAGCAAACCTTAATGGCTGCCAATCAGCCCTGCTTTGGAGAGGTTCCACGGTCTCTGTGTCCCACAGCCCCGTACAGGAACAATGATCAATGCAAGCACCTCTGCAAGAAAGCCGCCCTCGCGTTCCAGACCAGTGCCAGTCAGTCCAGTTTCTCTCCGTATGAGTCTGGGTCCCCAGAGTCCTGCCCGGAACTGGAGTTCAGAGGAATTGGGAGCTTGTATCTCCCTCCCAATTGAAAAAGACAACAGTGTACCCAGTTGCCAGCCTGTTTCCGCATGCACCTCCATACCTCTGCACTTCTGCACCTCTTACCCGCTTCAATGCGCTTTTCTCTTTCCTTCTAGTTGTAGAATTTCCACTCAGCCAGCCTTCCAGTGGTTCTGGATGATATCCATTTCATCTTTTAGTTGTATTTTTGATGTGGTTGTGCGAGGCAGCAAGTACAAGTGTGTACCTATGCCGCCATCTTGGTTCCTCCTAATCTAATTATTTTAATACTAGAGGCCCGGTGCACGAATCCATGCATCAGTGGGGTCCCTCTCCCTGGCCTGTGGGATTGGGCTGAAACCGGCAATCCAACATCCCCCAAGGGGTCCTGGATTACAAGAGGGCACAGGCCAGGCTGAGGGACCCCACTGGTGCACTATCGGGGCTAGGGAGGGATGCAGAAAGTTGGCCAGCCAGGGAGGGACTGTGGGAGGGCTACAGGGCTTATCTGGCCTGGCCTCACTTAGTCCTAATCTGCCAGACCCAGCAGCAAACTAACCTACTGGTCAGAGTGTCTGTCCCCTGGTGGTCAATGCACATCACAGCAAGTGGTTGAGTGGCCTTAGCATATCATTAGCATATTATGCTTTGATTGGTTGAATGGACAACCAGATAACCAGGTACTTAGCATATTAGGCTTTTATTATATAAGATAATTATAATTATCCCATCTTTCTGTATCTAACTTTTATCATTCAATGACCCTGGGTAAGCTCTCCACACATATATCTATATTTTTAATATTTTTATTGATTTCGGAGAGGAAGAGAGAGAAAAACATCAATCATGGGAGAGAACCATTGATTAGCTGCCTCCTGCATGGCCCACACTGGGGATTGAGCCCACAACCGGGCATATGCCCTGACCAGGAATCTAACTGTGACCTCCTAGTTCATAGGTCGACACTCAATCACTGAGCCACACCAGCTGGGTTCTCCACATAAATTTAATTAATTCTTATGAATGGTTGCATAATACCTCATGGTTATGAAGGTAACATCAATTTACTTATCTCTAATTGATAGTTAAGTTGTTTTTTATTTTTTTGCCACTCTAAATAAATAACAGCTAATACTTATTGAGTGTGTTTCATATACAAATCACTTTTTTAGCACTTGGCATGTATAAACTCACTGAGTTAAGGTTATTCTCTCCATTGTAGGAAACTGAACAGGAGTGAGTAAGAAATTTGCCCAAGCCTATACAGCCAGTAGGCACTAAACTAGTCAGTGTGTCTCCAAAGAACCTTTCACTTAACTACTTCTATACAAGACAATAATCAACACAATTGCACATATTTCCTAATAAAATGGTGCTTGATTTCTAGTTGACAATTTCCCTGGAGGGGAATTATTGTGGAAGAATATGTATATATTTTATATTGATAGATTGCTTTGCAAGAAGGCAGTAACAGTTTACATTTCTATCAGTCTGTATAAGACTGCTCTCTCCTCCAGCAGAATATTATTTAAAATATTTTTTATTTCTTTTTTGCCAATCTGGTGGTTGAAAAGTGATATCTATATGCTTTTCTGACAGTAATAAGATTAAGTGTAGCCCTAACCAGTTTGGCTCAGCGGATAGAGCATCAGCCTGTGGACTGAAGGGTCCCAGGTTCGATTCCAGTCAAGGGCATGTACCCTGGTTGCGGGCACATCCTCAGTAGGGGGCGTGCAAGAGGCAGCTGAATTGATGTTTCTCTCTCATCGATGTTTTTAACTCTCTATCCCTCTCCCTCTCCCTTCCTCTCTGTAAAAAATCAATAAAATATATATTTTTAAAAAGATTAAGTGTAATATGTTTATTAGCCATTGTATTTACTCTACTATAAATTGCTGTAGTAGTCAGGGTTCTCCAAAGTATTTATATAATAGTCATGTGATTATGGAGGCCTGAAAGTCCAAAATCTTTAGGGTGGGCCAGCAGGCTGAAGACTCAGAGAAGGGTTGCTCATGCAGCTCAAGTCCAAAAGCAATGAGGCTGAAAATCCAGCCCTCCTTGCACAGAGCTACTAGTAGTCAGACTGCCTAGACTTGAAGTCTAACTCACTAGTATTTAAGTTCACTGAGTTCCTTAAATAAGGGTAATAAAAACCTGCTTCTGAGGTCTTCTGGGAATATTGAAGGATTGCGTCTCACTTTATAACTTTCACCTGTTATTTGTTCTGTTACAGGGATTTGTCAATTTTTTTAGCAGATTATAAGAATACTAGGGGCCCGGTGCACAAAATTCGTGCCCTGGGTGGGGGGTGGGGGGGAGTGTCCCTCAGCCCAGCCTGCCCCCTCTCACATACTGGGAGCCCTCAGGCATTGACCCCCATCAATCTCCAATCACAGGATCGGCCCCTTGCCCAGGCCTGACGCCCCTCCTTTCCCCCCATCACTGGTTCAGGGGACCCCCATCTCCCCCCGATCACTGGCTCTGGCCCCCGCCCAGGTCTGAGGCCTCTGGCCCAGGAATCATGCCTGGGCAGGGGACCCCCATCTCCCTCTGATCGCTTGCTCCACCCCCGACCCAAGCCTGACGCCTCTGACCCAGGCTTCAGGCCTGG